CTCCGCATGCGGGAGGAAATGCAAACCAGCTCCTTGCTGCAATAAATTTCAGCCCGTGAGTCAGCGGGGACTGCTGGTAGCTCCCTCCAGGGGCCTGTTAATTTTACTGTTGATTAACCCTTGTTAAAAAAGGCACTTGAAAAAAACGCTGAGGGTTTATTACTATTACTGCCTTTTTGCCACCGCCAGTGAGGAAATTACACCGGTTAAAATTAAGGGTTTTTTTTAAAGAATCCATCTTGCTGGAGCAAACAAGTACTTTGCAAGCCCAGGAGCTCCTTGGGGACCAGTTATTTCTCCTAATGCTGGCCACGGTCCTGCTGTTTGTCCCTGTCACAGCTATGAATGCCTGGCACCGCTGTCCCGTGCTGGGCAAACCCAGGGCAGACTCAGCGCCGTTCCCTTAGAGGTGACTTCTGTCCACCCATCGCTCCACATCTATCGTCGAACCCAGCCGCTCCGCGCACGCTCATGGGGGACTCCTCCCAAGTCGTTTCCATGGGCGAGGTGTCAATGCAAACACGCAATCTGGAGACCACCAGTGTCAGGATAAACCTGGAGGAGCCTCGCCGGCTTTCCAGGAGCACCGCCCAGGCAGGGAGAGAGCATCAGCCGCCGCCATGCTCGCTGCCGTATCCCAAAGGCAACGTGAAGGACCTGTTCACACCTATTCCTGCTCCTCCCCACGGAGAATATGTGATCGGGGCATACGGGTCTTCGGAGGAGAGGCTGCAGAAAGCAGTGGACGCTGGACTTGGACTCACACTGGGTCATGCTCCAAGTGGGAATTAGGCAGAGACCTGTTCGTGAGAGCTAACGGAGCTTTGAGGGAAAACAGGGGCAACACCTGCCCGCGCTCATGTTCATTATTCCGTGGTTTTGTTTGTGTGTGATGGACCAGTGCGGGGCCTATTCCCGCACAGGACTCAGCTCCTGTTCCCATCAGCCCCAGTTAAAGCAAATTCCACTCCCAGTCTCTTGACAAGATAAAAGGTGCAGAACAGCGTGAAGAGCTTCACACTAATAGCACCGGGCTGGTCAAGGGTGAGGCCCCCAGCAGCAAGTTGTGGTGCTCCTCTTGGCAGACCCTGCTCTACGTTCCCCCGTAAGTCACACTCCACGGCCAGGGCTGAAGGGCAGGAAAGCTGTTGGAAATGGGACTTAGAGATCTGTAAGCAGCATTCAGAACGACCCCAGACTGTCAGGGTCTGCAGGGAATGCCACAGGAGCCTGCTCCTCCTGCTCTCCGGGCCGGCCGGAGCACGATGGCACATTCCCATTGCGCAGCTGGATCCTTGTAACAGCTCCCAAACCTTCCTGGCTTCGTCAGTGCTTTGGGGGGCGGTTATCTTTAACTGTGCTCACCCTCCAAGAAGAGCTTTGAGGCAAGGGGGTTCCTTCACACTCATCTTCACTAGAATATTAATGCACATTAAAGCAAGGTGTTACTATTAAAGCCTTAATAAAGGTGTGCAGACATTCCCACACAGAATGGAATAGCTCGGCTGAAAAGCATTATTTGTCAAGAATATGTTATTGCAGATAGATCTTTAGGCTCAATATTCAAGAAACATCCAAGGCCAGGTTGGACGGGGCTGTGAGCGACCTGATCTGCTTAAAGGTGTCCCTGCTCCCTGCAGGGGGGTTGGACTGGGTGACCTCTAGGGGTCCCTTCCCACCCAAAACATTCTATGATTCTATGATTCTATGATCTTATTACATGAGGAAGGAAGCACCAGATTAAGCCTGGTTTGTCTGGTTACTCCTAACCAGTCCTATCAGTAAGGGGAACCAGCCCAGCCACTTTGTGACAGGCAGAGCTAAAGGACATCGTAAATTTGTGCAAGTCATCAGCCTCTGGCTATCTTTGCTCCATCATTAACGGGACTGCTCTCCAGTCTGCTGAAGGAGGAAGCAACTACCTGTTCAAGTTGCAGCATGATTCAGCTGGTTTTTCACGCAGGAGGAAGTAACACCACAGTTAGAAGACCTTAGATACCCCAACGAACAGCGGTGAAAAGGCTTTGGATGCTTTCCACATGTATGTCACAGTTTAATTCCTGTTCTGGGAAATGAAAGTGACTGAAAGGAAAAGCCTGCGTTGGATTAGCTGGACTGCAAGTGCTTTCTCATGTGATTTTTGTTCCCGCTTGTACAGGTAACAGCTAGGAGTATGTGGTACCCTGATATCAATAGTTTCCAGAGATGTGTGCGATAAATGAAGTCACATGCGTTAGCAATGAGAATCTTCCTCACGCCGGCTATGACTAATGAACATGCCAAAACCCTATTTCATTATACACAGGATGAACTCCATGCCTCTTCCAAATACAATAGAGACCCGAGGACAATTGCTTATAAGCAACCCCTGGAAAACACTCTTCAGCCACGCTGCATGACGGTTTTTGTTCTCTGAAGAACGGCAAGACAGCCTCAACAGGCCATGGGTATTTCAGCGGTACAAAGCTGGAGAAGAGAGGTACATAAATCATCTCAGGTGTGAGCGTAGCAAGGACAAGGAAGAGCAAGTCCCCGCATGAGCAAGAGAGTTTCCCCATCCCACACTGTGAATTGTGCTGCCACGTCCCCCCGCAGAGGTCAGGGCTCCGCCAACTCCTGGTACCGCTTCCCTGGCAAACGGAGAGGGGGTGCTGTTGAGGAATAATCGAGTTATTGATTTCTAACCTCAGGACCCAACTACGGCTGAGCGCAAAACGCCTACTCTTGAGGAATGGGATATGAGGACAAGAACATTTAAGGTCAGAAAAGGAAATCTTGGGTGTTAAAAGACTGATGCTGCCCATGCAGCGTAGGGTTTAAAACAATGGGGCAGAGAGGGGAATGCACAGGCTTGAATACTTGCCCTGGGCGGGCTCCCTTTGATCCCATCTTGTGTGCGAAGACTTTGGTACTTTAATCTGAGATAGGATGGAAAATCGGCAGCTGAGAAGGAAAAACACAGCTGCTCTGCTGAACAGGTCACGTCAGCTGGGGATGCTCTGAGACAACGTGCTGGGAGGAAGATCTGCAAGGGAGCAGTCAGTTGAGGAAACAAATAATATTTACATGGCCTGCTTGTGGCACTGGAAATAAAACCTTCTTGCCAGTAAGAAATTCAGCCCAGCCCTCCTGGCCCCACCTGCTCCTGGGGGAGGGATCGCGCTATAAAAGGCTCCAGGCAGTGAACAGAGACACACAGCAATTTGGGGCTCTCCAGGGAATCCTCCCGCTCTGGCTGCGACCATGGGAAAGAGAGTGGCTGTCGTGCTGGCTGGCTGCGGGGTCTACGACGGGAGCGAGATCCACGAGTCTTCTGCGGTGCTGGTGCATCTCAGCAGGGAGGGGGCCCAGGTAAGAGCAGGCTCCGGCCCCGGCTCCGGCTCCTTTTGCCCCACTCCGCTTCTCAACCTCGCTCCCTTGCAGAAGGTGCTCGTCTCTAAGGAGCTTTGCAGCTTGCCGGGCAGAGCACAAGCTCTCCGTGGCTGCCAGGGGGATTGCAAAGCGTAAGGGGGGCTCGGAGTCAAAGCAAACGGCACAGTGTCGGAGCTGCTGCAGCGAGCGCGGAGAGCTCCCTGGTCTCTGCTTTGCTCTCGTAGCTTTGCTCGAGGGGGTTGGTTTGGTGCTCTGAGTGCAGCCAAACTCTCCCAACAAACTTTCCTAAATGCGTTCCCTATTCTTTTTGGCTTGCACTTCCTCTTTTCTGCTTTGGTATTGCTGTTTAAAACACTGCTGTTCGTTTTGGCTGTTGGAAATGCATCTTTTCTAAGCCCCTGAGGATTAGAACTGAAAACAGACAAGTTCTTGTGAGTTGAACTTGAATAGGGGTAGCAAAGGCGACCCTCGAGCAGTGCTTTAATACGCCATGAGTCACGACAGCCTCTCTGCGAGACTGGAGGAGGAGGGAGAGGGGCTCTACGTACCCTTACCCTCAGCTCGGAGCCGCCCACAGATGGGGGTCAGAGCCATTCTTCTGGGAATCGGAACTGCTCTGCTAAATACAAAGGCAGGGTGGTGATGTACACGCGCTGCAGAGCCAGCCCACCCGATTCCAAAGCCTTCCACGTGTGTACCCTCTGGCTTAAAGCTGAGACTTGCCCAAACCTTTTCCCCGCTGCCTATAATTTTGCCTCCTCTTCTCTCCTGGAGCTGCTGTGTCGCTTCCCTCCCACCATGCCCACAACTGGGAGGCTCGCAGCACCATCCTGCACTCATCCCTTGATCAGTAGGGACCTCTACTGGAGGAAACTCAGGAGTTATTTCTACCCCTTCCTTTTATTTTTCGGTCATGCTTGCCTAAGGAAACAAAGAATAGCATAGCACAGCACAGTGGCACGGCACGGCACGGCACAACCTGGCCTAGCCTAGCCTAGCCTAAGCCAGCCTATTTCAGTTGGAAGGGACCTACATCGATCGTCCAGTCCAACTGCTGGAGCAATTCCGGGCTGACCAAGATAACGCACCAAGGGAGGCACATGGTTTGACATCCCCCCCATAGGGGCTGGCAGCCTTCGGGGGGGCAGCCGGGGCAGGATGATGGTGATTGCTTGGGATGCAGATGGAAACTTCTAAGGAATGGCTTCACCAATGGCTCTTGGGACACCTCGCTTGCCAGGGAAGGAAGGGAGTCGCTGCTCCCCTCCAGCACTTCAGGCCCCCAAAGAAGCAGTGGGGGCTAGCTTCTTCGCTTCACCTAACAGCACCCTCATTCCTTTAAGGTCAGGGTAAATGCTCCTGGTCAGAAGCTACAAAAGACCTTTGTTTTTTTCTTTTTTCTCTTTAATTTTCTCTTTTCTTTTCTCTTTTCTTTTATTTTCTCTTTTCTTGTCCTTCCTTTTCTTTCCTCTTCTCTTCTCTTCTCTTCTCTTCTCTTCTCTTCTCTTCTCTTCTCTTCTCTTCTCTTTCTTTTCTTTTTCTTCTCTTCTCTTCTCTTCTCTTCTCTTCTCTTCTCTTCTCTTTCTTTTCTTTTTCTTTTTTTTCTTTTCTTTTTGCTTTGCTTTGCTTCTCTTCACTTCTCTTCTCTTTCTTTCTTTCTTTCTACTCCCTATGACAGCATCATTCCTGGTGCGACTATGAGACACATGTGAACCTGAAGGTCACTGACTTCACCAGCACAGTTCTTTCCTAACTCAAGCACTTTCATTCGCTACTTAGGATCTTTAACATGCTTGGGATACCCGACTTCAGGATAACAGCCCTCTCCCCTCCTTCCCCAGGCAGAGGTTTATGCTCCTGATGTTGACCAGATGCATGTGGTGGACCACGTGAAAGGACAGCCAACCCAGGAGAAGCGCAACGTGCTAGTTGAAAGCGCCAGAATCGCCAGAGGAAACATCAAGGATCTTGCTACGCTGGATGTCAAGGGGCTGGATGCCCTGATCATACCAGGTAGGACAGCATGCAGGGTCTGCACGCCCCAAGTCTTGGGAACAGCTTAGATATGCCAAAGGCCTGGAATGCCATGGGAGTCACGGGCTGGAGAGGAATGGGGCAGAGCCACCAGGGAAGGAGACAGGCTGGAAGCTGAGACTGGAAGGACAGACGTCATCCATCTGTGCTGGCACTGGCATGCTAGCTTGGACTTGTATTAAAAGAGAACGTGGCAATGCATAAGCTTATCCCAACAGAGGGCAGGTAACTGCCAATGGAATGATCCTCTGTACCATCTACCCAGCTTCTTTGTTTTACTGGATGTAGAACTATCCCCTCCCTCACCAACGTGCCGGCCCCCTTACCGGGAGAAGAGGCTGGGGCAGAGAGGGGGTGACACGAAAGCAGAAAGCTTGGTCAGTCTGGCAACTCATCTTTAGTGAGAGTAGGACCCCACGATTTCAGCGGGGATGGATTAGGCCTGGAGCAAGGAGTAAGAGAGAAGTGAAAACTTGTCAGCCTGTTCCACCAGAATTCAGAAAAGAGCTCATGGGTGAAACTCAGTACCCAACAGGGCATTGACACCTCTGCGCTTCGGTTCAGTATGGAGCAAGGAAGGTGCTTTCATGTCTCACCTCCTGGCAGACAGCTCACCGAGGTTCAGCTTGCCTGTTTTTAATTCTTTTACCAACATTGGACAAATGGTGCCATCCACCAAATCCATTTCAGCATTCTACTAAGTAATACCTGAAAAAAGTCCTGCCATGGAGTCCTAATCTTCCCATCTAATTTGTTTCTCTTTTCTCAGGTGGCTTTGGAGTGGCTAAAAACCTGAGTACTTGGGCCACTCAAGGCAAGAACTGCATCGTCTCCAAAGAGGTGGAGGACGTGCTGAAGGCATTCCATGCTGCCAAAAAGCCCATCGGCTTGTGCTGCATTTCCCCAGTGCTGGCAGCCAAAATCTTCCCAGGCTGCGAGCTGACTGTGGGTCATGACACAGAGTGTGAGAAGTAAGTGACCTTGGAGTGCTGATACGAAGTCGCACCACAAACATCACAGAATCAGCAATGCCTCCCCAGTGTACGGAGCACCCTGTCTCACACATCTCATGGTCCCACGGTCAGAAAGACACCAGATTACTGACTCATAAAGCTAAGCAGATCCTAGATAGGAACAGGGTGGTTGCACAAGGCTTGGCAGTGCGAAGAGAGGGAGGGAGTTAAACTCTTTACTCATACGGGAAAGCTGTGACTGAATTCTCCCAGTGGTAGGGAAGGAACTATGACGGCTCTTGCTAGGAAAGGGTTAGGAAGTAATGTCACTTGTAGGAAGCTGGGGAAAAAAACAAAAAACAAACGTAAACATAAAGTCTGGAGTGGGCAGAGTTAAGTAGTGGAACATCTACAGTGGAACATCAAGGTCTTATTTTGGCTTTACTTCAGATTTTTAACTCGCTGTAATCTGGAGGTTTTCCTGGTTCTATAGTCCTGGAGAACCTCCTCCAACAGGAAAAGATTTGAACCTATTGAGCAGGATTTCTGTAGGACCATCCATCTCTGATCAACAGAATTCTCATGCTAGGCCTTCATCAAATGGCTCTGTGCAATGACGGCTTCCCCACACAGGGCTTATTCTCCTTCCTTCTTGCAGGTGGCCTTACGCCAAGACTGCTGAGACCATGAAGGAGCTCGGCTGCAAGCATGTGAACAAGCACGTCACCGAAATCCACGTGGATGCGAAGAACAAGCTGGTGACCACCAGCGCCTTCATGTGCAATGCCCCCATTCATGAGATCTACGATGGCATTGGAAGAATGGTCAGGGAAGTGGTCAGACTTGCCTGAAAGCCACAAAGCCACAGAATCCATCTCCTCCAGAATGCGGGCACTGAGCCTCGGATAATGTCCTTCCCCTTTTACACCCACAAGTCCACAGGCAAACAGCTACTCAGACAGAGTTCTTCCCCCCCACCAGACCACTGGTGGCTGCTGGGGAGAAAGAACTCCAGAGCAACGGAAGCATTGTCGTGTTCTGCCAAGGACAGCAAGCCGGCAGTAACTGGGAGTGTGGGCACATGTCAGGCTTCAAAGCTCCCTGCCTACCTCACCAAACAGAGGAGTTAGCGGCAAAAGGAAGGAACACAGTTCTGCTACTGAATAAAACCTGATGCTTTTTACATGGGCTGAATTCTGATTTCATTTTTGCCTTTTACTCCGGATTAGGAGATGCTTCTAGTGCTACTGGTTGGCCAATGAGTGGGGAAAACGGTACAGGAAGAGGTCACCAGCAACAAATCCCACTTGTTTTGCTAGGATTTGTCAGGACCCAGACTCAGGCATGGATATGACATGGGTGAAAGCAGAACCAAACCAGCGTTAGTTGAGGGTGACAGGATTTTCTGAGATTAAGGGTGTTTTGACTAATTTATCAGATAGGCTGAAAAGCTCCGGTATGTAAATACAACAGGGAGAATTCCAGCGACTAGCTGAAGAATTTGAATTAATCTCTCACTTCAGATCCAACCTACATGGACACAAAGCTAGTAATGACGCTGTTTGCTGGGATGCCAAAAACTGCTTCCACTAGTGGGAGCAGGAAAATCAACCCCAAAGAGGAAATGTTAACAACATTTTGGTTTGTTTTGACACCCAAGAAAGGCAATAAATAAGAAATAAGGAAGCTGGAGAGAAATGACACTGTAACTAGTTGTTTACAGGGGAATGGGAGAAAAAAACCAAAATCCTGTAGTTACGGGTCGGTCAGTGTCAGTATCCGTAGGAACTCCTGTTCGTCCACTTCCCCATCTCCATCCACATCTGCTTCATCAATCATCTCCTGTGGGATAGCAGAGATTTGGAGACCAGGTTAGGCTGGGTCTGAGAGAGTGGAAGCTCACAAAGTGCAAACACCAATGAAGGTCTCGGACAAGGCCCGAGCGAGACAGATTACGTCCGCTGCAAAGCAACGCAGCACAGTCCCCCGAGCAGTCTTCCCCGCAGTAAGACGCTCCCCTCCCTCCCCGAGCAGAGCACAAGAGGAATGTTTGTGCTTCACAAACCTGCAGCTCCTCATCTGTGATGTCTTCCCCAACCTCACGAGCCACCACCTTGAGATCCTCAAAGGAGATCTTGCCTGTGCCATCGCAATCGAACACCTTGAAAGCTTCCAGGATCTCCTTTTCCAAACATGGCTCTGCCTTAGCAAGGAAATGAAAAATACCATCGTGTAAGCATGACATCATACCACCCTGCAATCCCTAGTCAGGCACTTTTAGCCAGCAAACAAATCCAAGTCATCATTTTGGGGACAACATGGCCATTGAAGTGGGTTATCTCCCACTGCTTCAGTGGCTGGGGCCTGCAGGAGGAGCTGACAGGGTCAGTGGGTATTGAGGAACGATTTCCCTAAAAACCTACAGATGGTGAATTGTGCATCTAATGCGTAACATTTGCTCAGCGCTGTCTTGAATAAATAGCCCTGCGACTGTAAAGGCAGAACTGAAATTTCATGTGGAAAGGTTTAAGGAAGGGAAGTGGGGGCTCCCAGGTGCTGTGGGAAGATTTCTGCTGAGATGCAGCTGTGTTTATCTGAACTAAGCCATCCTGCTCCCTCTGTAGCTTATGGAAGGGCAGTTCACCCAAAGGTAGATCGCTAAAATAGCTCAGATGACACCCCTGAAGCACTCCCGTTTCTCTGCTGCAGGGAACCAGAGTGACCCAATCTACTGTGGCTACCTGCATCGTAAGGTTAGGCAAGAGGACTTTCACTCTTTGTGACCGGCTGGGCTCACGTACCATTTTCTGAGTCATCACCTGCAGAAATGCCTTGAAGGTTAGCTTCCCCGACCCTTCTTCACCGAATTCAGAGACGATTCTCTTCATCTCCTCTTTCCTCAATTCACAGCCCAGAGCCCTTACAGCTATCTGCCAAAAGAGAAAACAGACCAAGGTCTTGGTGTACAAATCAAACAAAGAGGGAAAGATGTTTGAAACATGAAAGCGGTGAAAAAAACCCCAACTTTTCATCAGCAGCTATTCATCTGCCACTTTGTCTCTAGAGAACAGGCTTCTGTAGCTGTCTAACATCAGTAGTACGAGGCTGTGAAAAATTATCAGCGAAGAGCTGTCAGCGAGGGCCAAGCAGGAAGGCTTCAGTCCCTCCTACGGGTCGCTGGCTAGTACGTTGGCACAAACCTTACACCACCTATGGCTGCGTAACCAGTCAGAGTTCAGGCAGCAAAATCTGTTAGCACAGCAAGTGGTCCAAAAGCAATCGATGGCAAACACACAGTTGCTCAGCCGCTGCTCCGCAGCAGTGTTTATCAGCTGCTTGTAAATGATTAGCCCTGTTTCCAACATTTATGTTCGCTGCCAGTCATTTCTGTTTGACTACAGCAATTCAAGTTCCAAGTGCAACTGCGGTCACAAAGCAACTGTGCCATTTCTGCCAGCCTGAGGGGATCCAGGCTTCTGATCTGGGTTACTCAAGCTGTGCAAACACATCCCGAAGAGGAGCAGACTGAGCACCCTTCAGCTACGCAAACCGGCACTGTGTTTGCAAAGGCTGCTAGAGGACAGGGCTTCTTAAGAGAGCTTTGCCTGCAAAATGTCGTTCCTCCTCAGCGTCTTGAGGATGGGGGTCACTGTGAAGACAGACAGGGTAGGAGAATCCTGAGATTTTTTCCACAGCATCCCAGAAAAAGGACCTAAACCCCCCACTGATCTGGGCTCAGTTCAATCAGTGGCAGAGCAAGGACACTGTTAAAAACTCGCACTGCAGGCACGGTAGTACAGCAGCAATACCACAGTAACGGGGTTTTCCACGTGTGAAATGGGTTATGAAGGACACGCTGCACACCCCTGCCTCCTTCCAGGCCTGCCTAAACAAAGTCCCCGCAGCACGGGTTAACGTGATCTTGGTGCACTGATGAAAACGTGACAGAGGAGATTCACAACCAGGGTAGGAAAGTTGCCTCTGGATGAGGGTGCTGGGACAACTTCACCCCCTAGAAGCTCACTGTGAGCAGAGGGTCTCATTCCTGACCTGGTTTTCTCCCCCATAGCCCAGAGGCATGTGAAAGGAGGAACGCAGCAGTGTGGGGCTTCATGGGGGGGGGAAATGAGGCCAAGCCAGGAGTCGCTAAACCTCAGAGCCTTTGTTTTCCCCAGGACCCACGCCGCATTTTTCCAGCTTCTTGCCTTCAAGTCGCTGACATCCACCAGGCCCGAGCCGCCCGGGTCCAACAACTCGAAGGCCTCTCGCAGTTCCTCCCTCTGCTCTTCGCTGACCGGGAACCCGGGAGCCGCTTTCTCCGTCGGGGAGCCCCCCCCGGCGGCGCCTCCCTCGCTGCTGGAAGCCTGAGCCCCGGCGCCCTCAGCCGCGCCGCCGGGGGCACGGGCAGCGGCACCGGCCGCCGTCACCCCCTCCCTCCCGCCGGCCTTCCTCGGAGGCGCCCACACACGCACC